GTGGTATGATCTCGTCTAAACATCTCATTTCAGGAACTCTGCATCAACCTACACGGACCATACGCAGTGCACAAACTGTGAAAGGGATTTTTTGGGTTTTTTTTCCCCCCAGCTTCATTTTCTCTGCAACTTCCCCAAAGACAGCACGACGGCCTGTGACAGTGTGACACACAGCTTCCTCAAATCTCTCACCAGTGCCTCCCTCCCACAGGAAACACAAAGTAACACGACAGGTTGAATCCACACGGAGCAGCTCACAATGCTTGCGATGCGGAGCACAGCGCAGTCAAGGCAGGCAGACTCCTCAATGGATCTGGGAAACTGCATGGCAATGTCCAGGCGTCCTCCCCCCGCCATTCAAAGCGCATTCCTGGGAAGATGAGCCCCTAGTGCCGAGCGCCCTGGACTCTCAGTCGGCTTTGCGCTTCAATCCAGGGATCTTCGCTTGAATTCTGCAAATGGGAAGGAAGGCAGGGGAGAAGAGGCATGTCACCCGGGGGCCATTCTTCGAGAAGGAATCGGCTGCAGTGTTGCCGCCTCGCCCTCACAACCTAGATTCCACAAAGCCTCTCACCCCCAGGGCCGGGAAACCCTTGGCAGCGCTGACGAGCGTGCTTGGGCCTCATGGAGACATGCTACTCTCTTAAGGTACAGCCCCTTACCCGTGACTCCAAGTACTTACTTAGCCACAGCGTCTTTAACAGTCTTACTCGCAAGTGCGAAGCAATGATCTATCTGAGCCTGGAAAAGAGGGAGAGCGATGAGAGAACCGCCACCACAGAAGCCCAGCGCAGGCCAATTCTGGTTCCAACAAACACTACGCTCAAAGGCCATCACATTACCCACGTGTCCAAGGCAAGTAGCATGGATGCTTGTGTAAATCCCACATAGAAGAATGGGCTCTGTAACCTATGTCAGTAGAAGTTAAATTACCTGATGCCGTTCATAAATAACTGGCACGCTGAAGAGTGAAATCAGGGCTGAAAAAGGAAATACACAACTTTACAAAAGGACTCACGGTGTAGCATTCAAAGCCATCCAAAGCTAACCAAGCTCCTACCAATGACAAAATACACAAGCTGCTCCTGGAGGTATCTGCCATGGGGAACCACACCCGGCTTTACCCCCCAGCCCCGACGTCATGAAAAGCAGGCACACCTCGCTGGCTAGATTTCTACCACTGACCAGCGAGAGCTCCCCTTTGCCTAGTTAGCATGGCTCGTTGGAGCACTCTTCAATTACTCCAATATTAATAAACCTAACATGAGCAGTTTATTTACAGGGACCGCAACCAAGTAATTCCTCCTTGTTCCTTTTAAGAAAGAATTCTCTCCCATAAAATGGCTTTAAGCTACTGAGCCCAGTGCCTTAGTGCACTTACCTAAAATCAGGAGGGTCAGTCCGTTGAACAAGGCACCGACGTAGGTGAGCACCCACATCAACACTGCAAACTGCAAGGAAACCACATCAGCCAGTGCAGACACACGGTCCCCTCAGCATGGGGATGCCCTAGACTTCCCAACGACACCCCAAGTACCTGCCGCCCCTGGAGGTCTGCTAGAGTCACATGAATATTTCACTTCTCAATTCAGAATTCAAATGGAAATGACAGGCTTGATCTCATCTGCTCTGAACCACGTGGGAATTAATTCTGTTTTCTCAGCTCTAAGGTCATTTCCCTTTCCGACAGCCAGACTGAAAAGTATCAAGAGCGTTAGGGAATACATTCATCTAAAGCCTGAGTGGGTCAAATGTAAAAGCACTAACCAATTAAGAACTTGAAGAGAGATGAACTGAATTATTCCGACGCTGAAATCTCAGACCTGTGGACAAGGTGATACTGGGGCTGGGTCAGAAAAACCAGGCTTCGAGCAGCGAGCGATCTGTCACCGGCTGTGGCACTGCCCGCGCCTTGATCTGGGTGGTTGCAGCCAAAAGGAAGCGGGGGAATGCGGACTGCTCTAACTCAGACTCAGGAAACCCACCTGGCTGTTGCTACTCTTTATGTTTAACAAGACACCTCTGCAGGCAGTGCTTACTGTGTGCTGCGCACTGTACTCGGTGCTTTCCATGCCAAAGCCCGCCCTGGGAGGTAGGTACCACTACCCACCGTAACAGCTGCAGACGCAGGAAAGTTCTGTGAACTTGCCCCGGTCACACCGCACTCTTCTCGTGGGGGCGGGGCCTGGGGACCGCAGCCACCTGACAAGCTCTCAAAATCGACCATGCCTCTTACCATCAAATAGGCAGTTGGGGAAAGACTTTGCTTTTAAGAAAAGTGACTTCATCGGGGTGGGGGGGTCTCAATTTCCTCCATCACTATTTCCTAGTTTATTGGAGACTGGACAAGGAAATTTCTAAATTTTTTGTCTGGCTCTTAAATTCTGTGACATCAACGGATAAGTCAAAGCCATTCTTGATGACCAGGAAAGCAGCGGCAGCTCTCTCAGCCTGCGTGCCAGCAGCGGCCCTGTCCCGTGAGCCTGGGCAAATACCAGGGAGGGGGAGAGGGCAGTCAGAGGCAGGGCCAGCAGACTTCTCTGCTGTTTTGTGGGCCACACAGGGTCTCTCATGACGTTATTCTTGGTTGGTGGTGTTTTCGCAAGCTTTTAAAGGCCACTCTCAGCCTTTGCATAGCCGCAGCTTGCTGGCCCTTCATCTAAAGGCATGGTTCTCTTCTGTCTCAGGCTTTCGGCACGTCTGATGGACTACTGCGTCCAGCAGGCTCCTGAGCACCAAGGACGGCATCTGAACTCTAATCCTCGCATACTCAGGTCAGGATTCCTCCAGCAGCTGTCAGGGCCCACAAATAGCACTGCTCAGGTTACCCCTACACCATGCTCAACTAAGGAAAATGCCAGGCACGCTGGCCAGTGGCACCTGCCGGTGGACATTCCAGTCTCTGCAGGCAGGCTTTGAAGCAGGCTCCTCTCCCACAGTCTGACTCCTGAAGAAGCTAAATATAACGTCTGCATTTGAGGGTGCTGCCTGTAAAGTGACAGCTTCCCTCCTCTACCAACCACAAGTCTAAAGGAAAAAGAACCAACGTGCCCATCTCAGAAGAAATTGCCTAGCAGTGTGGACACCTTACCATGACACAGCTGGATACTTTGCATACTCACAGGTGGAAAAAGGTCTTCCTGTGGCCACTGCAGTCACCAAGAGGATCACACTACAAATCCACGCAGAAAGAAGCCCGAGACTCCATGCCTGGGCCCTTGTCATGTGTCTCTTGAAGGGCATTCTTTTGAACATCCAAGCAGCCCACAGGCGAAATGCACATGGGAGCCAGTGAGGGAAACGCCCTCTCCCCACTCCCCAGGGACTCGGATCACAGCTGCTGCCCTGCAACCATCCCAGGCCACATGTTGCCCAATTTCCCCATTTTGAATGAAAAAACTATAAAGTCACATTTGTATGGGATGGGCTATCACAGATATTATTACTCTATAGCCAAGTTTGGAAAAAATGTAAAACTTTGGTGGCTGGAAACAAACTCCTGGATAAGGATGCCTAGAGGTTGCACCACTAGACCAGAGAGGTGGCCTAAGAACTAGCTTCTCCTGATAACACAGCCCTGCGCCTTGAGGGAGGGGTCACTGGACACCAGGGCACTACAGCAAAGTGTGGTGCACAGAACAGATGGTGCCCAGCTACCGATCAGACAGTGTCTGAGGTCTGTTCAAGCAAGCAGCCTGTGTGATCCAAAGATGAAAGGGAAAGTGTCAGAGCTTAAATGGTGAACATGCAATCTGTAGAAGGCTGTGGAGGGTGTGGGAGCCCAAACCCATCTGCAGAGCATCTCATCAGATTCGCCTCTGGCGCTCCGCTCTAGCCACAGGTGGGGGACTGTACTGCGAGACACAGACATCACTGTACACTTGATCGTGGTGGATTGAACCATGGCATAACAGGATGCTTGGCCAGTTGACCTCTCTCTTACCCAGCGTGCATGTGCCCCAGGCTCTTGGGTCCAACTGACTGGAGTCTATACTGCAAAGCCTCAGGAGAGCCGCCTTCCTCGGTGGGGTCTGTCCCCAACAAGCAAACGGGCAGGGACACCCTCCAAACAAGGACACGGGCAGCTCCCACGTTGGCCCTAACTTTTCTTTCCTCCCTCCCTCCCTCGGAACCGAACTCCTGGCCACAGAGATGATGCCAACTCACAAAGGAGTGGAACACCCAGTCTCTCTCCCGAGGAGCTGTGCTGGTGGGTCACAGCCCAGTGTGACGAGCCTTTCCACACCCATGTAACTCTCCTCACAGCTAGGGGCCATCTGTGGAGGACAGTCAACCTGGTGGACAGCCACATTTTTCATAAAAGACAAGTAGAAACTTGAAACTCAAACGTGTAAAAACTGGCACATAATAAATCATTCCAAGATGCAATGGCTGTGTTTCATTTTAAACCCTGTGTCACGGAATGTCCCTTTCTCAAGAGGAATGTTGACATATGGACACACAGCCTCCTGCACAGGTGTGGGATGACACCCGTTAGCCTATTTACTAAGTCTGGAAGACAAGAACCTTCCTCCCCCAACCAGGAGTCCTGTGAGGTGCTGTGGGTTAGGCGTTGGCATGCTATAACCTCAAGGATGGGGGTTCACACCCACCAGCTGCTCCCTGGGAGAAAGATGAGGCTGTCTCTCCTTAATGACTAAGTCTGAGAAATGCTGCGCAGGGCTGGACACCAAGGAGTGGCGAGCTCAGCGCTCTTCCCCCATGAAGGTCCTTGGGGCCTTTGAGTAAAGCTGCCCTGGGCGCTCTTTGACCGCTGATAGTTTCCTGTATGCGCGGGGCTGAGAGGCTACTTTACAGTGTTTCTTCTCAGGGGATGCCTCCCTGCTCTCTCCATCCTGCAATGCACTGATTGTTCTACTCCAGCAGCCAAGGAAATGAGACAAACCCCGTGCTGAAAACAACGTAACACCTGGCTCCCACAGGCACCGCTGTCTGACAGCACTGTGAGCATTTGAGCTACTGTGACCAAGGAGAAAAGCGGGATCTAATGGTCTAACCTGACTGCTAGGTGACACTCTTGACTTTGAGAGAGGCTTAAGGTCAGTGGTGTGCATCTCTCCTAAAAGAAGTTTCTATCCACCAGGCACATTTGCACCCCAGCTTCAATGCAAACGGTAGGCAAAGGCCCCCAGACACAGAAGAGGCACTGGGTCACTGCGTGCCGCCCAGACCATCGTCAGCAGGGCTCAGGGTGGGCTGGTTTGCAAAGTTAGAGAGCATCAGCAACTACAGAGGCCCCGGTGATCCGCACCTGGAGGTGATCCGCACCCCTGCAGAAGGCAGCACACACTCGAGGACAGAAATGGTATGCTCCAAAACAAAGCCGGCCTATTCCATCACAGTGGTGTGAAATCGATTCGTCTCCCTTCTGACAGTCAAGATACCCTACGATTTCCAAAAGTAGGAATTTATCATTTCTTTTCCTTCATCAAGCAATAGCATTTTCTTCTGTCCTAAATATTTGATTGTTAGATTCTAAATTTAGAAGCCCAAAGTTACAGTAATAATGGGATCCCATTTTTATTATGTAGTTGAATGTAAAAAAATGCTCCGAGTATGTTTAAGTGCGGGGCAGAATACACTTACCTTCAGAGAATCAACGAGATCATCCACTAAGAAGAGGCGTCGGAGTTCTTGGACGGTGCAGTTCACGTGGCCGAGAGCAGAATTGCTGTATTTCTGAACCAGCTCCTCAGACACAGCGACGTCTGACTCCAGATATGCCCTGAAGAAGAGACCACACCCTAACTGCCACGTACCAACGAGCAGGGACATGTGCCCTGCGGTGCCCCGTCAAGCCCAGGAGAGCACTACACCAGCACGGGGATTCCTCACCCACCCGCGCCGGGTCCCGTCAGGGCGAGGAAACGTGCTGTGACGCCAGACGCATCTGGCTGAATCTGAGGTTCTGACACGTGCTCGGTTGTGTACCTGTGGGAAACGAGCCCTCTCTAAACCGGTCTCTCACTTAGAAAGCAGAGATCATGATGCAGGCCCAATGAGTGAGGTGCGGGAGGCATTCGGTAAAAGGTAGTTACAATTGGTGTTTGGTTTTTTCTTTAGGTTGTTATTAAGAAGGGGCTTCAAGTCCTCTGAATGAAGATTCTACATGTTCCTAAATCCCACACACTTTCTCAACTCATCAGGCTAAAATACGGCTGCCAAAAAGTATCCATTTAGATGGCCCAATCTGCACCAATGAGACAGCGGAACCAGTCGCGGCTTTCAAGAACACAACGGCCTATGCGAGTGGCAGGGGAGCCGCACGCCACAGGCACTCAGTCCATTGTTCTATTAGCTGGTAAGCTTGCAAGAAGTCACTTTATCCTGGCAAAAATGAACCACGTCACGAGACGGAAGCGCCTCTCCAACC